CACACACACACACACAGAGCCTGACACACACACAGCCTCACACATACACACAGCCTCACAAACACACACACGGCTGCACACACATACACACACACACACAGCCTCTCGCACACACAGCTTCTCACATGCACACACAGCCTGCCTCTCTCTCTCTCTCTCTCTCTCTCTCTCTCTCTCTCTCTCTCTCTCTCTCACACACACACACACACACACACACACACACACACAGCCTCACAAGGCACATCTAGATGACACTTCCCTGCTCTCTGTCCTCGCCTGGGGTCCCACATGCAGGATGTAGAGTGTGAGCTGCGTAGTCTGCCTGAGGCCCTCCTCTCTGCCCTCCTCTGGGAGCCTGGCCTTCCTGCTCTCTCACATGAACCACTGCCCCACCCCCACTCCCACTCCCACTTGGGGCCGGTTCAAATCCCAGCTCTGCCACTTATCAGTTGATGCTCTTAGTAAATGTCACTGTCCACCACTCTGTGCCTCAGTTTCCTCCTCTGTAAAATGGGAGTAATAATAGTACTTACACAGGGTTGCTATGGGCATGAAATGATTATTTGGAAAAGGTCTAGCATAACGCCCAGCACTTGCTTTCAACCCTTGTTTGGCATCCCTGGCTCACAGTCGGCGACTTCCCCTCCCTCCAGAATAACGGGTCATCTGGGAAGGAGAAACACCTCCTCGCTGGCCTCCCCTGCCCCAGGTCTGCAAATAAACAGGCTGACCCTCACAGAAGGGGGTGCCCAGACCCCCTCGCACCTTCCCCTGGCAGAGCGCCATCTGCGCCCTGGCCTGCTCCTCGGCCTCAGAGAAGAACCTCACCGAGACGCCTAGAGAGACAGCTTGCCACCCAAGAACTCTGGTTTCCAGATGCAAAGGCACCTGCTCCCTGCCGGCCCTGCCCACACGCGTTGACCTCTCTTAGCTCAGTGCTAAGAGAGATTTTGTTAAATACATAATCGTGCTTACCCACAGGCCTTTCTTAGGTCCTTTCCTATGTGGAGACTCCCAAGGGTGAGCCCCTCTCCTCCTGAGGCCCTGGAATGGGAGCCTAGAGGGCAAAACAGGAACTGCCTTCTCTCCCTGAAGCTGCCCTGATGCCCATGAGGTGCTCCTGCTGCCTGGCTGGTCCCCTCCCCAGCATAGCTGCCTGGGGCTGTGTCTCGTCTGCCCCCCAAACCTTGAGCTACATCCCAAAACATCCTCTGTGCTCACCTGTCCCCAGATTGGGTCCAGGCCTGCCTGCCCCATTGAGCTGTGGGTTTCCTCATGGCAGACACCTGGTAAGAACCTCTCCAGGCCCCTAGCCTCTCCCAGTCCAGGGATGGGCACAGAGAGAGCTGCTGTTATGCTCAGCATGGCCCAGCAGGGGCCAGATCTCAGGAGGCCTCCCAGGGAAGTGTCCCATAGAGCAGGTCCGCAGGCCCCGGCTTGGGGTCAGGATGAGCGTGGTGACCAGACCCATCCAGGGCCAACCAGCCCATGCTGAGGGGCTGCGGGGCCACCCAGGGAGGGAGGAGAGGCCAGGAGACGCTGCTTCTAGAAAAAGGCATTATTGAAGGAAACCAGTGCTGGTTGGGGGTTGGTTGCTATAGAAACACGTCCTAACTATCTCCCAAACTGCTGTATGCGCCACTGATGAGCTTGTGTGCTAGGCTGTTTCAGGGGACATGCCAGGAGTCCCAGGAGGGCCTGTCTGCTGGGGTTCCCAGATCCTGAAGGGCCGGGAAGAAAACCAGCTTCTGGGACAACCGGGCAGCTCCATCGGCCCAGCGGTGGGCTCGGGACTGAGGCTGTGTGTCCGGGCTGCAGAATCATCCTGAGGCTGGCCGCCGCCCCAACCCTGAGCTGGCCACAGATCAAGGTACAAGTATGATCCCCAGACATGCTGAGACCCAGCTGCAGATCAGGCCACAGCCCCAATCTCAAACCAAGCTAGGAGGTGAATCAGATCCAGCCGCAGATTCGCAACCCACCCAGCAATGACTCCAGCCCGACCCTGGCCTTAAGCCACATGAGGCGCCATCAAGGGGCCTCGCCAATCACTTCCAGGATGTTTTCAGGGCCAGCACTGAATCCACACGGCATCTCCCACCCTGCCAGGCATCTGCGTGGCCTTCACTTCTTATTGTCTCCGCAACAGCCCAGCGAGGTCAGTACAGAAGGGCCGTGAACCCTGTTCGCAGATGAGAAAGGGGAAGCTGGGAGGAGGAAGCTGACCTGCCCACTGCCCCACTCTTGCTCCCGGGGTGGGCTGAGTGGGATGAGAGTCCCGCCTCCCAGCAGGACACAGTTGGCCAAATCAGTTGCCTTGGAAAAGATGTGTTTTTTGAAGACCTGCTGGTATCTCATAAATATGCCATTTAAATACCCATTAATTACCTTATTGAGGAACTAATTAGTGATTAATAGCTTTGGCTATCTATTGTACTTTCATTTGCTCTGCCAACTCGGCTCCCAACAGTTCTGAGTTACTTGGAACAAGTCTCCCAAGCCCCAGATGTCCCCTCTCGGTCCCTCCAGACTCTTGCTCCAGAAGGGAGACACTTTCTCCTCCCTCTAAAGGGAGCTCCCGCAGCATCTGCCACCGATGGCTCTGCCACCTGCGGGCTCCTCAGGAGGGCAGCTGGGAGCAGGGGGAGCCCCAAAAGAGGGGACAGAGGGCCCCCCTCAGCATCCACAGGAAGGCACTCCTTCCAATCAACTCAGGGCACCTTTGGGAAGTGGGGACAGAGGCTTGTGGGGGCCTGGTTGGAGTCACAGATTCCATGGAGAATGCTGCCCCCTGCCAGCCCTGCCCACACACATTGACCTCGCCCCTGACAGCGCTTTCAGAGACCCCCCACCTCAATGAGTGAGCCAGCTTTCTGGGAAGGGCACCAAAGGCTACCGTGAGCCTGAAGCAAGCAGCCCTCCCCCAGCCAGGACCTAGGTGGCTCCCGTGGGCCATTCCTACCACCTGCCGCTCCAGGCTGCTACTAAGCAAAGATGGGGCCTCGGCTGCCTCTCTCCCCAGGCTCTCCATTTGGTGCCAAATCCCAGCACAGGGAATTGAGAATTGCCAGCCGGGAGGGACCCCAGAGGCGGGGCTGCATAATGCTCTCATGGCTGCTTCAGATTACACTGTACAAGAAGGAAACAAACAGGCAGCAAGGGATAAACACCACCACCACCACCACCACCACCACCACCACCCCCCACTGGGCAGTAACAGGAGAGCTGAAAATAGCTTTTTACCACTGGGGATGATTCCAGGGTTGCTCAGCTGGGACCAGCCTCAGGGGAGGCAGGAGGCGGGGAGTGGGGGTGGGGAGAGAGAAGGAAGCCCCAGGAGGAGCCGTCCAGAAAAGGTCAGAGGTGTGCGAGTGGTGGGCGGCCCAGACGCCCCACACCTCCCGAAGACAGACTCCTGAGCGCTCCCAGTTCGGTGCGCACACCTAGGTCTCTCCCAGAGGAGCCTGGAGCGCAGGGCGGGATGTGCTCAGCAAACACGGGGAGCCAAGCAAACAGGGCATCAGCGGCAGCCGCTCAGAAGAGGTCTCTCATCCGCCAGAACTCAGCGCCCCTCCCAGACCGAGCCTGGTCCGCGTTTCTATTTTTGCTTTCAACCCTTGTTTGGCATCCCTGGCTCACAGTCGGCGACTTCCCCTCCCTCCAGAATAACGGGTCATCTGGGAAGGAGAAACACCTCCTCGCTGGCCTCCCCCGCCCCAGGTCTGCAAATAAACAGGCTGACCCTCACAGAAGGGGGTGCCCAGACCCCCTCGCACCTTCCCCTGGCAAAGCGCCATCTGCGCCCTGGCCTGCTCCTCGGCCTCGGAGAGAGCCTCACCGAGACGCCTAGAGAGACAGCTTGCCACCCAAGAACTCTGGTTTCCAGATGCAAAGGCACCTGCTCCCTGCCAGCCCTGCCCACACGCGTTGACCTCGCCCCCCACAGCCACAATTCGCAGGCAGTGAATTCACCCCGGGTCCTGAATTCACCCCGCAGACAGGCCTGAGCCCAAGACCCTACATGCCACCCCAGGTCTTGAACCAAGCCCTGAGGTGGCCACACAGGCTCTCAGCCTGGCCCCAGCCTGAGCCAGGGCCCTATTCCCAAATGAACCTCACAAATGCAGCCCTGGACAGAGCCCGGAGGAAGCAGGGTGGGGCCCGGCTGCAGGGACCAGCTCCCACCCGGAGCCACTGACAGGCAGCAGGCTCCCCGCTCCCCACCCCTCCGCACATGACCTCCACGGGGGCTGGTGGCCACGCAACTGCGCAGGCCTTCCAGGCACAGGGCCCCGGAGGTGGCATTACCTCCGGAGTGACTCACTAGGCTCCCATTCCTTTGTGAAAGGGGGTGCAACTTAGCATTTTCTTTCTCCTTAGAAAACAAGAATTTTAGAAGCAAGAGTGTAGAGAGATTTGAGGGAGTGGGTGGGGAGCTCGGATCTCATTTGATTTTTACTCACTTGTTACGCATTGCCTTCTGCCCCCTCCCACCCCACCCCTTCCCCTGGGGGCTCTGACACTCTGGGGTTGCTCAGCTGGGACCAGGTGCTCTCTATGTCCAAGCCCTCAGCACCCGAATTGTTCCCCATCTCCCACCACCGTTCTGGGGAGGGTCCTGTGCGCTAGAGAGAGGAGGAGGTGATGCCCCTGGAGGCAGAGTAAAGCCAGCAGGGAGGGAAGCCCAAAAAAAGGAGCAGTATTAGAGCCAGAGCTGACTTAAAGCTCATTCAGACTCCCCAACTCTTTCCCTTCCTTCCCCTTTTACAGATGAGAAAACTGAGGCCGGGAGGGGCAGTTCAAGGTCAACCAGTGACAGAGCGGGCTCTCTTCTCTGTTGCCCAGTTTAACTCTTAGAAATGTTGACTCCAAGAGTAGCAGAGACCTAAGCGCTGATTCCCGCTTTGCCTCTAACTTTATGTGTGATTCCAGACCCAGACACTTAACTTGTCTGGGTCTCAGTTTTCTTATCCATAAGATGGGAATGACATCTGCCCTACCTTAAAGAGATGCTGTTGGTCCATTGGGCAGGAGAGCATGTTGAGGACTGCTGCAAAATAAAGAGCCAGATTGTTCTCAGGATGCTAATCCCTGACCTGGTCCTCCCTCTCACAAGCTTGGATCCCAGAGTCCCTAGTCCTCAGAGCCTCGCTGGTCTCTGGGAGGTCACACTCTTGGTCCTTGAAGACCCCAGAGAAGGATGCTTTGCCTTTCTGGCCTCAGTTGCCCACCCTGCACGATGGCCAGGGGGACTGGCAGACCTCCCAGCCTCTTTCAGCCATGAACTGTCCCAGGATACTAAGGTAGGGGAGAAAACACCACACCTTCTGGCCAATGCAACAGACACAGCCGCAACAAGGGGGAGTCTAGCCCTGTCCTCACTCTCTGTTTCCTGCACAGGATTCCCAAACCCCAGCCAGGCCACAGGGGCCTTCGTTCCATAGGGACGGGGGATTCTGGGCTCAGGGTCACATGTTGAGGTGGGGCTTCTGTTGGAGCTGCGCTGTCCTTGACTCTGCAATCACACCACAGCCAGGGCTGGGCCCCAAAGGTCTCAAGCTGGGGCCTATTGTGGCCTGAGGGTCTGCAGGGACAGGTCACTCGGCCAGGAACAGGCCTGCCCAGCTCCAGCACCCCCAGGTCTGCAGGGACAAAGGCTTCCCGGAGGCAGATTTTAGAGAGGCCTTGGGTCAGGACAGTGGCAGCCAATGTGGTCTCAGCCTTCCCCCTGGCACCTGAGCAGGTGAATTTACGTATAATCTTGCAGGGCTTGATGCCCTTCCCAAGGTGCATCCCAAAGCAATCCTGATACCCTGGGCCTGAGAGTCCTGCCTCAGTCCCCTGGCACCTACCCAGCATCGTGAGAAGCCCAGTGCTGGTCCCTTTCCCAGCTTCCAGACATCCCCTCCTCTGAGACACTGGGCCACTCCCCCTTCCCCAAACCAAGGTGCAGGGGGCCCAGGAGGAGCTCTGGCGTTGGATGGTGAGAGGGCAGCTGACTCAGCAGAGCAAGGTCCAAAGTGAGACTCCAGAAAGGCAGGTTTTCGGCCCAGCTCTGCCACAACCTTCCTCTGTGGCCTCAGTGTCCCCCTGTTGACAAGGGTTTGGAAAATGGGCATCTGGAAACATCCTCCAGCTGTGCCACTGTAGGATCAGGAATTTATTGACTGGAATTACTGGGTTCCAAATACTCTAGCCCGCTGGCTCCTCCCCTCAGAACAGAGGCCAACATTTGGGAGCAAACTGGTTCCTCCAGCCTGGAAGGCCCAGCCCTGCAGCCCCAGCCCGGCCTCTCCACATGGTCCTGTCCCAGCGTGAGAGGTTCCTAGACCCTCTTGGCTGCTCCCTCTCTTCCTGCTTGGCCAGGGGCCTCCCACTTACCCTGTCAGCCTGCTGGGGTGTAGAGGGAGGGCCCCAGGGCCATAGAGAGGAAGGGAGGGGCAGCAAGCCTGGCAGAAACCAGAACAAACCTTACCCAGCCTGGGAGAGCCTCTCTCCTCCCTCCCAGAAGCCCTCAGGTGGCAGCCAAAGGGACCTGTGGAAACACCCAAATCTCACTGTGTTGCTTCTGTCTTCGATGCTCCCCAGAGTTCCTTTCAGCCATCTGCACCCCTGTAGGGACCCACCATCCCAGCCAGATAGATTTCTGTGCTCTGGGACATCTCCTGCCCACGCATGCCATTCCCACCGGCAGCCGTCCCTCCACACTTAACCTCTGTCCCTTTCCAACCTCCTAGCCTTTGTTCAAGTCCCGCCTGGAAGCCTGCCCCTTGCCACCTTCCTGTCCGAATTCTGCTAGTCTTTGAGGCCCAACTCCTAAGAAATCCAGCCTTCTCCATCCCAGGCCACCATTGGCCTCCCCTGTGTCTGCACTAGCCCATAGGGAGCCCATAGGGAGCTCTTATTGCAAATCACCATTTACTAAATGGACCTCCTAGCTCAGTGATGGCGAACCTATGACACACGTGTCAGAGGTGACACGCGAACTCATTTTTTTTGGTTGATTTTTCTTTGTTAAATGGCATTTAAATATATAAAATAAATATCAAAAATGTAAATCTTTGTTTTACGATGGTTGCAAATATCAAAAAATTTCTACATGTGACACGGCACCAGAGTAAAGTTAGGGTTTTTCAAAATGCTGACACGCCGGGCTCAAAAGGTTCGCCATCACTGCCCTAGATCCTTCCCCACCCCTGGCCCCACCTCCCTACAGCAGCCTTTCATCCCCAAGGTGGGCCTCTCTCCCCCTTTGTCCCAAACTGAGAGCACCCGTCGGGGCAAGGGCAAGGGCAAGGCCTCTCCTCCCCTCCCCTTTCCTCTCGAGACTGAGCGGGCACCATAGTGATCCTGGCCCGTGTGACTGAAACCCCCCAGGGGTTGGGAGCTAGAAATAGCCCCTTTGGGATTCACCCTCCATGACTGATCCCACCCTGCCTGGGACCTGATTCTCTTGTACCCGGGACCTCCGGGCATGTGGCAGTGCCTTCACTGCCCCCCTTCAGCTCGAGTCTGGCACAGCTGACATGGCCATGGCTGGCTGCTCAGGCGGAGCCCGCTGGGAGTCTGAGGACGCCACTCACCAGACTACCTTGCGATGACCCTGGCGTCACACCCTGTGGTGGCCCTGGGGCCCAAACCCCTACTTCTTCCCTCAGTAGGTGGTCCCTGGCCCGTTTTTAGAGGCAGCACCTCACTCACAGGCCAGATTCCCACAGCCTCCATCCCTGGCCTTCAGCCTCCCTTGGTTCTAATGGCATCTGTCCCCAGAGTGAAGGCCAGGCCTGATCATTTCTGACCATCACTCTGTCCCTGCGAGGAAGATGGTCCTGAATAGCCATCCCTCTCTGTGTTACCTCCCTTCCTTGGGCCTCAGTTTCTCTCGCTGTAAAGTGAGGGACTTGAGCTCCTGTCTCCAAGGACTCGCTCTGTTCTAACACTCATCAGTCTCTTCTCAGAGACTCTGCCAGTGGGGGAGATGTCACCCCCGTACACCCATGACTGCGTGCTGTTCTCAATTCAGTGGGTTTAGGAGCCTAAAGAAGAGGGACATTTGCAAAATGCAAAGTGGCCTGGGAGAGCTGAGAAAAGGAGTAATCTGATTTTGCTGGGGTCAAGCCCACAGGCTGCTTGGGGTGGCAGCTGAGCATGGACAGTTCGATCCACAGAGGAGGGGAGTCTGTGCTGCCCCGAGGGAAAGGGCCAAGCGTGAAATTGCAGCACAAAAGACAAACTGCTTGATGCTCGGAGCAGGGCCGTTTTTTCCACCTGTCACTGGAACACATTCCCACGGACTCTCAGCCTAGGGACCAAAGGCAGGCCAAGGCAGAGGGACTGAGCCAGCACCCCCATTCCAGGAGGGGTGACCTATCCAGACACCGATGGGGAAACCCCACCCCCAAGAGCCCTGAGAGTCCAACAGAGCTGGTCTTCATCCAGGCTCTGCCCAGACCCTCTGGGCCACCTGGCGGGAGCCATTTCTCTGAGTGTCTATTGCCAGATGTTTCTGAGAGGGGAGAGTAACATTTCCTGTTACTCCACCAGGTGCCTGGGACAAGCAGTAAGTACTGACAGCTATTGTGTGGCAGTGCCCAGGCAGGTGATCTGTGCCCGGGGGTGGGCACTTGCGTGCACACACATGCCCACATAGAGCAGAGGCGGGAGGCGGACACACACCCTGTCTTGTGCCCTTTGGGAGGAGTGACGTTGGGTAAGGACCCAGCTCAGTGGGGGAAGGAGAGAGAGAACCTTTCCCAGCCCCAATGGTGTCATCTCACTGTGCCTCCCCCAGCGGGGAGAAGGGAGGGAAGTGAGAAAGGGGTGTTTAAATGTGTTCCCTTCTTGCTGTGTCTCACACAACCTGCCCCACCCCAACAGGACTCCTGGGGGACAGAATGGAAATCTATTCTCAGGCAGCTAAATCATACACCCGGGTGGTATTCAGGGGAGATCTGAACCGGGTCTAGGGTCCGGGGCAGCATTTGTGGGGTGCAGTGGATTCACACACAGCCCGGTGGTATGCACGCTGAGTATGTATACACATGAATTCACACATTCATGCATTCCATCACTTTCATCACTTACGGGTAGAGTGGTGGGGTTTGTGCCAGGCCAACGCCTGGTCCCAGGGGATGGCATGGCACCTGCCAACGTCACAGGTTGGGTATGAGTTCATGGCAGATCTATTCACACATGCCAGCCTCACCAGCCAGCCTGCTGAGACCCGGCTTGCTGCCCACACTGTGGGCTTTCTTCAAACCTGAGCCTCCCAGGGCACCAGCGGGCCCACAGTGTGCAAACAGGGGCAGAGTCTGGTCCTCATCCCAACCCCAGTGCCAGCTCAGGACCTGGCACACAGCAGATGTTGGTGAATGAACGTCTGGCTGAATGAGTGAACGAATGACTAACGCCCACTTCCCCGCACACCGCAGGCTACACTGCGTGAGTTGGAGGGAGGGCAGCGCCCCGCCGGACCCCAGAAGGGGTGGCACCTTCCGACCTCCGCACCTGAGGCTCTGCCTCCGGTCCGGTGGGGGGAGGGGGCGGGACGGTCACTAGGAGGCGGCGTGGGGCAACCCCCTTGCCAAGAAGAAACCTCGGTCTCCTGCCCGAGCTGGGGGCGGGGGACTGTCGCGTCCTGGAGATAGCGAGTGGCAGGACGTGGGGGGCGCCCCGGTTTGGGGAGCAGGGGATGGAGCGGCGGCCCCTGCCCGGGCCGGCCGGGTCGTCCGGAAGGTGGTCAGGGTGCCCACAGCCTGGCTGGACAGGGCGCCGCAGCCCTGGCCCTTCCCAGCGGGGCCGTGGCGAGGGGGACGCGGTGTCCCACGAGGTGACTGTGGGCACGGGAAGGACGCGGGGCGCGCCGAGCCCCTTCTGCACGCGCCGGGGTCTGGCCTCGCCGCCGCCCCCCGCGCCCGCGGGAACCTCCGCCCACCTGCGCGAGCGCCGCACCTGGACCGGCAGCCCCCCCTCCGGCCGCGCGGGTGCCTCCCCCGAGCCCCGGCCCTGCCCTCCGGCGCCCGCCCGCCCTCACCTGCACGGCCCGCCTTGGCCATGTCCCGGGCGGCGGGCTCCGCTGAGCTGCCCGGCTCCTCGCGCTTCCCGGGCTGGGCCCCCGGCTCCGAGCCGCCTCCGGCCCGAGTGGACTCCGAGCGCCGCGCCCCGCGCCCCCACCCCGCGCGCTCCGCTGCCGCCACCGCAGCCGCCGCCTCCCCGCTCCCTCCCGCTCCCTTAAAGGAGCCGAGCGGCCGCCGGGGAGGGACTAACGCGCGAGGCGCCCTGCCCGCCCCCGCGGGCCCGCACCCGCCCGGCCGCGGCCGCCGCTCCAGCCCGCTCCGCTCCGGTCGCAGCGCGCGGCGACCCAGCCCCGGGCGCGTGCAGAGACGCGCAGAGACCGGGCGAGAGACACGAGATACTGCGGACCAGACGGGGACGGGGACGGGGACCGGGACGGGGAGGCAGGGGCGCTGAGACACCTCCCTAGGGCCGAGCCACCGGCGGGGAGAGGACTTCAGAGACAAAATGCAGAGATTAGAAACACAGAGCCTGGCACCGAGAGTGACTGAGGCAGCAGGGATGAGGAGAGAGGATGGAAGAGGGGGCACAGGGCGGCTCCCACGAAGCCAAAAAGGAGGTGGCTCCAGAGCTCAGAGACAAGGGAGGGCCCTTCATCAGCCCCTCCAGAGCTCGGGGCATCTCCAGGGTCTGACCTAGTCCCAGAGGGGAAGAGGCTCCTATGCCCTCATTGTTAAGGGGCGTGCACAACACATGCAAATCCCGAGCGCCCCACCCAGGCTGGAGCAGAGCTGGGGAGGCCAGTAGCGCAGCTGTTTGCAGTGCCCCCTCCACCTCCCGCACCTGGGGTGCAGATGTTTTGGTGAACAGGCCTGGTGGAGGCCGGGGGAGATTTGGGTTGTGGCTTCCGCAGCTGGGGATCCACCGTCCTGCCCGACAGGGGTTAGGAGATGGCCAGCTGTTCTGGTGGGACCTGGGTGGTAGCCAGGGGAGGTCCCAGGGGAAAGAAGTCTCCTCCCTAGTCAAGGCCAGACCAGGTCTGTGGGCCCAACAGATGTCTGACCAGCCTTTGGCAGCTCCCAACACCCCCCAGGCCAGACGCCTGGATCCCTGCTGCTGGAAAGGGACAGGGAGTAGCTACTCTCCCAATGCTTTTCCTCTCCCCTGAAAAGATGCCCTCCTCCTCCTTCTAAGGAATTGGTTAAAGCCCAGTTACAACCTGCAGCCAGTCACCCCCACCCACCCTGTCCCAGCCCCAACCTTCCAGGGAAAAGGCCCATCAGATAATTCCATCCTTGGGCTAGCCAGGGGTTCCATCAGCTCCTCTATGGAAACTGGGTACATGTGGGGCAAAAAGGTGCCTCGATGGGCATTTAGTCCAGAACCCCTTCTAGGGCTCTGACTCCACCCACTGAATCCCCACCCCAGGTCCTTCAGCTCTTGGCTGAGTACATCCAGGGTCAGAGTTCTTCCGTCTTTGGGTGGTGCTGACTGTGAGGATGTGTTCCCTCATTTGAGTCGAATTCTGTCTTTCATGACCCGCCTGTGAGTCCTTCTGATGCCTCACCAAGCAAATCCAAAGCTCCCCAGGGCCCTGTCCAAAAGCCCCCGTGTGGCTTCACCCGCCACCCAGGTATGCAGAGCCTGTCCCGGCTGTAGCACTGACAGTCCCACGTCCCAGGAAACCCTTCAGTCCCAAGAACTCTGGATCCCAGAACCAGCCGGCAGTGCTGTCTCCAGCAGACAGAAGGCCAGAAGCTCCGAGGTGGGAAGCCAGAGCTGCTCTCCAGTCTGTGCCAGGGGTCACCAGCCGGGAGAGCGTGGATGGATCCCTACAGCCTTTCCCCAGCACTGGGGTGAGGAGCAATGGGAATAGCAATAGATTTTTATTGGACAGGTGCTCTCTGAGGTCGACTATATCACCCCCAGTTTACACGTAAGGAAATGGACGCTGAGAAGGTTTGGGGCCCATGGTCACGCAGGATTAGATTTCAGGCCTGTGCTCAGTCCTGCCCTCACCCTTCCCTGCAGGTGGGGCACAGTCAGAGGCCTGACCGCTTGGGTAACGTCCAGGTTTGGCTACCTGGTCTGTGGGTGTGAGTGGTCACAAAGGAGCAATATATCTGCTTCCCAAGCAACACACCTGGGTCTGAGCAGCTCCCCCTGAGCCCTTGGCTCACGGCAGCGATAGTGACCACAGTCTGGCAGGGGCCCTCCGCACACGTGTGTGTGTGTGTGTGTGTGTGTGTGTGTGTGTGTGTGTGAACACGTCCTGCTCAGGGAAGATGCACCTTGAGGTGGGCACTGAGACCCTTCCCCATCACGGAGCCCAGTCACCACAAACCCTTGGGAGAGGGTGGGTGGAGCAGTTGAGGGGAGGTGCCGAGTTGATGGGAATCTTAGAAATCATCCAGCCAGAACCCCCTCCGCACCCTCATTCCTCAGATGGGAAGACAATGGGCCAGAGGTGGAGGGACTTGCCACAGGACCACGGACTTCCCGGCTGGATCTACGCTTCCCCTCTGTCACCCACCACAGCCCTAGCCCCATCTGAAATGCAGTCCCATTGTGTGCATCTAGGGTCTGACAGGGAATTCAGGGCCCTACTTCCTACCCGCCCCCCGCCCCCCAAGGCAGCTCCTGGACATGCTGTCTGTTAGCAGCTGCCCAGGAAGGCCAGCCCTGCCTTAAGACAGAGCAAACACTTCAGGACGTGAGGCCATTAGATCAACCAGTGGGAGTTCACTTCCTGCTTCAGTAGAATCGCCCTTAATTGAAGAAAAGAATAACTAGCAATTTAGAGATGCTGACCTCCGCTGCCTGCAGGAGGGGAGCAGGAGCCAGCAGCTCTGCGAGGAGAGTGACGGCATCAGGGCTCCAGACCACACGCTTTCCCTGGGACCTGCTGCCCAGGCCTTTCCTCGGACCACAGTCTGTTCGGTCGCTGCCTCCAGAGTGGCCAGCTGTTCCCAGGCCCAGCCAAGCATTGCAGCTCAGAGAACTGGAACAGAAATGTGCCAAGGCCCGAGCTGCCTATTGTCTGGGAGAGTGTGTGCACAGATGTGGGCAGAGCTCCAGGCAGGTGGTGGGAGCTGGCTGGGGGGACTCCTCAAGGAGACAGACCCCAGGCCAGGGCATCCATCCTAGGCAGGCGGTATCCAAGCACTTGGGAAGGTACGTCACAGTCTTCAGGAGCCAACGTGGCCCCTGGAAAGGCAGTCAGGCCAGGCTCCGCTCCCTTCCCCTTTGGACACGTTACGACCGGTGGAGTTGGGTATTGCCCTGCCTGCTGGGCCTGGCAGGGTGCTGCCCAACTCTCTGGTAGTGACGTTCTCAACAGCATGGGAGTCAGGAGTGGGACAATGGCCGGCCGAGGGACTTATTCCTGTCCACCGCTGATGCAAGGAGGCCTGGGACCAGCTCAAGCACTTTAGCAAGGGTGACCACGACAGCGAAGTCCCACTGCCCCTGCCAGTGGCACCTGTTCCCTCTCACCTGAGCCCCTGGAGACATCTTCCCTCCCTGCAGGGCCTCCTGGCCTGCCCTGCACCCTTCTTGGCTCCCTCCTCACTGCTTCCCACACTTAAGTCCCTTGGTTGGTGTCCACTGCCCTGGGGTCCACCTCCAACCACAAAAGTGGCCCCAGAAACAGATGCTCTTCTTTGGAGCCTTCCAGAGTAGCTCCGAGAATGGCTGATGTGTTCTCACCACCGCCTTCTTGCCCCAGGCGACCCCCAGTTCTGCCCTCCGGCCAGGACCCTGGGCGGAATGTGCCCTTCCATCAGCACTGCTGGCTCTCCTCCTCCTTGCTGGCAACAGGTGGCTTACCTAGTCTGTGCTTCGACTTTCGGCCAAAAGAAGGGTTAGGACCCTGCCTGTCCCCTCCCCTCTGGTGAGAGCCCCTTCTCAGCAGCCACAGCAGCCGCGCCCTCGCTCACCCTCCCAGCAGATGCAGTAGAGGGAGGAGCACTGGGTCCTGTCACCAATGGGCTCATCTGTGGTCTCTGGCAGAGGCAGGAAGATTCACTTAAGATCAACAAATGACCCCCAAGGAGATCCCCAGACCCCCATGTGTAAGGACCCCCAGCCAAGACAGACGCCCGCCCAGCAGACCAAGCCGAATGCTCTACTTGACACAGACTGCATCCCCACTCCACGCCACGAGGGTGGCCGGGAAACCCAGACGGCATCCGCGTGCGGGTATCCTCAGGGTTTTGAAAAGGTACTTGGGACACCTGGCAGAACCTGTTCAATGGGACCTCATCAGACTTTCGCTTGACCACAAGCTGTGTTCCGTCTCTGCCTCCGAGTGGCCAGCTGCTACCTCATTGAATACTGAGCGCCCAGATGAGCTGAGGCCGCGTGGATTTCATGTCAGCAATTGCTCTTTAGCTCGCTTCTCCGTCTCACCCAGTGGGATTCTGGAGAGAGGGTCTGGAGAGAGGCTGAGTGGTAGGTTTTTCAAGAAAAGGGGTGGCTGAGTGGAGGCAAAAGATGTAGCAGCTTTGCTAAGAGGGCTTAGGAGGAGGGATGGTGGCAACCAAGCTGGTTAAAGACAGAGGCCATCCAGTAGTTCCCACTGGGGAAGGGAGAATGGGACCCTCCTCCCCTGCCCACAACCGGCAGCAACCATTTGCCTCCTCCGGCTTCAGCTTCAGCTTCAGCTTCAGCCGTAGGAGCTGTATCTCGTGTGTATCTCGTGTTTGTTTGATGTCAGAACTGCTGAGATTGGCCCCAAGCAAGCTCAGTTGTCTTCAAGTTATACTTAGACCAAACACGAAACTAGGTGAGCACCTAAACGCTGTTGCAAAGGCGGCCCTTGCCACGCCCATCAGCCGGGTGCAGGGGGGGAGGGTGCGGGGGGGGGGGGGCGCGGGTGGCCTTCCTGCCCCACCCCCCAGCATTGTTCACTTATGACAAATTCCAGAACTCAGAAAAGCAAACACAGTTGTAGATGATGAGGCACTAAAAAAACACCAGGTCGGCAGGGAAAGTGGCCTGTGTTTCCTGACTAGCAATGCAACAGCGTGGACAAGGGCAGGAAATCGCAACCAGGTTAGGTAAACAGATTATGCAGCAGACGGCGGCTTTATCTGCACCTAGGATACCATCTACACCTGTTATGGCTCGTGTACACCTTGCCTCAGGTACTGCCTCCCCTCAGGCTCC